TAAAAAAAAAAAAAAACTCATTAGTGATAATTTCATTTTAACTAAAAAGAAATAAATGAAATTCAAATTAACAAAGTTCTTATTTGGGGACTTGTATGTCCAAATGATGCTAACTACCAATTAAAAGCATATTATATAATTTACAATATAAATGCATGTATCCGTATATATATATATATAAATAATATAAGATAGATGGGTATATATATATATATAATTAAGATTATATCTATTGATACTCAATCTTGATTATTGGTTTTATTAATTTGAGTGGGGCTTGCCTTTGTGGAATATGCTAGCTACCATATATATATATATATATATATATACAATTCTTTTGCTTTTGCCCTCTGGTGACACATAAAGAACTCAACCTATCTACTAATTAATTAATTATAAAAATAATATTTATATAAAGAGTTGACTACAATATTTTAATTCATTAATACATATTGAGCAATATTAAATATTCTGGTGTATAAACCAATTTTTTTTTAAGAAAAAAAACAATTATGGTTCTATTATATATGGGATATAGATATATACATGGTATAGTGGATTCCTATGTATGATTTTGTCAAAAGTGTGGCTAAGTAAATAAATTAATCATATATATATATATATACTTACAAATTTTGTATACATAATCATGTGACAACTAATTGTTTCAAGATAAACTAATAAATTGATGTACTACAATCTTCTACATCAACAAGTGAGAATTTTTTAAATTCTCGCAAAATATCACAAGATTTGAGATGTAATAAGATCAACATTTATCTTGATATTAATATTACTTTTAAATAAATATCTTGTTTCAATTAAATATGTAGTAAAAATAGAGATAATATTTTACATCTAATTCTATTTAATCTTATTTACTCAAACTCGGAATCGGGTTAGTAGAAAAAAAGATAGGTTAAAATGGATTTAAGTTTGATCTTTCAAAACCTGTTTGGCTCTAACTCACTATAATTATAACATTCGGTCTCAAAAATTTAGTTCGAGATAATTTTACATTAATAAGATAATGTATTAAAATAATTTTTTTTTTATTTTTACAAAACTTTTGGAGAAAAATGAATTTGAGGATGAAATTAAAAATAATTTTTAAAAAATGGGGTGAAACTGTGAATAGATTTTTTGAAAGAAAAAATTAAAACATGAGGTCAAATTGTAAAAATGCGAAATACAACCAGGTGGGACAGCTACATCAGCAACAACGGCGAGTCAGAATGTGTCGTCTGGCTAACACGTTGACATTGTTCCACGC